GAGGGATTTGGGGATCCCAGGAAAGGATTTGGGGATCCCGGGGGGATTTGGGGTGCCCAGGGAGGGATTTGGGGTGCCCAGGGAGGGATTTGGGGTGCCCAGGGAGGGATTTGGGGCGCCCAGGGAGGGATTTGGGGTGCCCAGGGAGGGATTTGGGGATCCCAGGAAGGGATTTGGGGTGCCCAGGAAAGGATTTGGGGATCCCAGGGAGGGACTTGATGTGCCCAGGGAGGGATTTGGGGTGCCCAGGGAGGGATTTGGGGTGCCCAGGAAAGGATTTGGGGATCCCAGGGAGGGACTTGATGTGCCCAGGGAGGGATTTGGGGATTCCGGGGGAATCTGGGGGTCCCAGGGAGGGTTTTGGGGTGCCCAGCGAGGATTTTGGGGTGCCAAGGGAGGATTTTGGGGTGCCCAGGGAGGATTTTGGGGTGCCCAGCGAGGATTTTGGGGATCCCAGGGAGGATTTTGGGGATTCCGGGGGAATCTGGGGATCCCAGGGAGGATTTTGGGGATCCCAGGGAGGATTTTGGGGATTCTGGGGGAATCTGGGGATCCCAGGGAGGATTTTGGGCATCCCAGGGAGGATTTTGGGGCGCCCAGGGAGGATTTTGGGGCGCCCAGGGAGGATTTTGGGGCGCCCAGGGAGGATTTTGGGGATTCCGGGGGAATCTGGGGATCCCAGGGAGGATTTTGGGGATCCCAGGGAGGATTTTGGGCATCCCAGGGAGGATTTTGGGGATCCCAGGGAGGATTTTGGGGCGCCCAGGGAGGATTTTGGGGCGCCCAGGGAGGATTTTGGGGCGCCCACCTCCTGCTGCAGGCGCTTGGCGCGCCGGCCGTAGCTGTTGAACTTGGAGGGCTGCACGGACTGGCGCAGGGGGATGCTGTGGGGTTTGTACTCCCGGTCCTTCTCCTCGCTCTCAAAGGGCCGCGCGTGGCACTGCTGGAGGGAAGCGGGGGAACCCTCAGCGGGGTCTGGGGTACCCCTTGAAGCCCCCCAAAAACCCGGCCCTCACCACCAGGTTGGCCCCGGACTGGTACATCTCGTAGGGGTAGATGATGCGCTCGTAGTGCGCCCGCAGCAGCGAGCCGATGTTCTTGCCCGACGGGTACGAGAGGCGCTGGGCCACCCGCGCCCACCGCCGGTCCTTGCAGATGGCCTCGTAGCCACCCTCCTCCATCACCACCTGTGAGGGGACAGTGAGGGCTGAGGGACACCCAGGGGCACCCAGGGACACCCAGGGACACCCAGAGGGACCCTGGGACACCCAGAGACACCCAGAGGGACCCAGAGGGACCCTGGGACACCCAGAGACACCCAGGGCCACCCGTGCCCACCGCCGGTCCTTGCAGATGGCCTCGTAGCCACCCTCCTCCATCACCACCTGTGAGGGGACAGTGAGGGCTGAGGGACAGCCAGGGACACCCAGAGGGACCCAGAGACACCCAGGGACACCCAGAGGGACCCTGGGACACCCAGAGACACCCTCAGCCCTTGCAGATGGCCTCACAGCCACCCTCCTCCATCACCACCTGTGAGGGGACAGCGAGGGCTGAGGGACAGCCCAGGGACACCCAGGGACACCCAGAGGGACCCTGGGACACCCAGAGACACCCAGAGGCACCCAGGGGCACCCGTGCCCACTGCTGGCCCTTGCAGATGGCCTTGTAGCCACCCTCCTCCATCACCACCTGCGAGGGGACAGCCCAGGGACACCCAGGGCCACTCAGAGTCACCCTGCAACACCCAGAGCCACCCAAGGCCACCCTGCAACACCCAGAGCCACCCAGGGCCACCCTGAGACACCCAGAGGCACCCAGGGCCACCCTGAGACACCCAGAGGCACCCAGGGCCACCCAGGGCCACCCTGAGACACCCAGGGCCACCCCTGGCCCTTGCAGATGACCTCGTAGCCACTCTCCTCCATCACCACCCGTGAGGGGACACTGAGGGACATTCCAGAGCCACCCAGGGCCACCCCAGAGCCACCCTGGGTCACCCCAGAGCCACACTGGGTCACCCCTGGGTGAAGGGACACTGTCCTCAGTGAGGGGACACTGAGGGGCACAGGGACACCCCAAAGCCACCCAGGGCCGCCCTCGACCCTTGCAGATGCCCTCGTAGCCACCTTCCTCCATCAT